GAGATCAAGTTCTGGCCCCAACTCTGCCTCTGACCCTTGACCCCAAGCACATCTCTGCAGTAGTGATTATTACAATGGTCACATGAAATGACAGAGATATCAAGTACTTTGAACGGATAAAGTGTCACATCTGTAGAGTTTTTAAAGTGCCAGGCTCTGTTGTAAATGCTTTATGAGTATGAACTCATTATAATACCCACAAAAGTCTAAATGAAGCACTAACATTATTTTGCTCAACAATCCACATTGGTCTTAAAATCTTTAGAACTGTTTTAACTCCCCATATGTCCCTTATCGTATATCTTCAAAAACAATTAAGAGAATCTAAAATAAGAGAAGTCATCACCAGATTAGAAGTGATGGAGCTATATAAAAACATTTATTGAACAGTTACCATTGAACATGCTAGTATGACTCTAAGCACTTAGCTCATTTAACTCTCATACTACTGTGAAGCGAGTATCCTAATTCCCAGATAAGGGGAAGAGGCAGAGAGGGTTTCAGTGACTTGTGCAAGGTTCCCACAGCCAGGAAAGGAAGGGCTAGGATCCAAACTCCAGCAGCCAGTTCACTTTCAAGCGTTAGACCACCACTCACCAGACACTATCCCATCACACTGTTAGCATAATCCAGGGAAAGACACAGAACAGAGAGCAGCAGCATTATCTTCCTGTGAGCTGGGCAGTGAGGGTTGTGACTAAGGGCAGATACAGGAAGAAGAGAGAAGGGGAAGGAAAGGAAATGAGAAACTCAAGCAGGGAACAGATAACAGTGAGGATGGATCTAGGACATGGCAGAAAAAATCTAAAACCTGACTGAGGTGCCATTTCTGCTCTATGGTATCCAAACATATTTCTCGACATTCTTTTTTTGCCTGTTGGTCCCACCTCAAGTCCAATGACTAATATGCCGACAGGCTGGTTTACTGTCTCAGTACATCACAGAGAGCAGGGAACAGCCCAGTAAAGAAGTGAGCAACAACAGAGAAAATGAGGGAAGAACTTCATGACAAACACATGTCCCATACTCTTGAAGAGGAAGTTAATACCTGAGAATAAAAATATTCTCTCCATAAGAACAGTTACAAGGAAAGCTTATAGCCAGGTGACTGTGCCAGTCTCCTGTGATTCCAAAACTTCTCCCCGGCTACTGCACTGTATTCAAGCAAATTTCAAGAGATGTATTCACTGAACAGAAAGAATAAAGTTAACGAATACACAACAACTCTGATCTCTCTTCTATTCAGCACCAGGAAATTCAGCTAGGGACAGGGAGAAGAGATGGGTGAACAAATTCAGTGGCTGGGGAGGAGCTTGCGGGTCCCCTTGAGTCCTCATTAAGCATCACAAATTTCAGAGAAATATTCATCTGTAGCTTAGAATGTTGCCCCCGCCTTTGCTTTAACAGTTTCAGGAGCTCTGTCCAGAAACAGATACTAAAAAATAAAAACTTTGGGTGAGAAGAACCCAACCTCCAAACCCCTTCAAGATGCAAACTTTCTCACTTCCTGCAAGAAGTGTAGTGCTCTAAAAGGAATGTTGTACCAGGGCCCTGAGAAATCCAGCCTCTGAAATGCCATGCCGAGGGATTTCTCTATCTCTTCACCAGGAACTTAAAAGCTACGAGCGCTCTGGGCTCCTCGTATGAAAAAGGCAATGGACGAAGCAAGGTTTATAAAGGATTCATCCCTCAAACTGAAGAAATGCACAGCTCGTACCTTTCTTCCATTTTCCCCTCTATAAAGCAAAACACAACCTGACCCCCGCTCAAGGGTCATTTAATGCTGTAGGCATCTTTGCTGGCCTAAGTATCCAACTGAAGACAAATTGGCAATCAGAACCAAGTCAGAAGTGAATAATGGGCAAACACATAAAATAAGTTAACCTTACTTAAATATTAACCTGCAGTCTAAGAGATTTTTAAAATTTAAAACAAACAAAATGACAGGTGAAGTAGATATTCTTGGAGAATACATATGTACAAATGACCTGTGCTCTGATCACGTGTAATTAAGCAGACCTTGCTTGTCTTAAATTGCTTAATTGCTCAAGAAATGAGTCAGTGTCCCATAAAATCTATTTAATTTGTTTCATCCTAGTCAGCATGAATTGGAACATATGGCAAAAATGATTTTTAAAAAACTAAGATTGTAAACAGAACTAAAATTAAAATTAAAACTACTTCAGAAACCTTGATTAAATTTAAAATTTATTAAAATTAAAACTACTTCAGAAAAAGTTCAGGAGATTACAGCTAAATGTGAATTAGTAGCCTACCTTAGATGCTAGTTTGTGCTTGTGTTTTTAAGACTTTATGAGGATTAAAAATATGATGGGGGGAGGACAAGACGTGCCTCTCTCTTTTCTGAAGACCTTGGACAAACTGAAGTATTAACTGGCATTTTCCTTCAAGATTAAGCGAGATGAAACAGAATCGCAACCAATATTCTTCATCTAAACAGTACAGGCCTACCTCAGCAGCAACAATCAGGGATGGGAGTGGTAGGAAGGGAGGACAAAAGGAGAAGCATAACTGCAATGAAAATATTAACCATAAAGGCAGATGATAACCTGTTGTGAGCTCTTACTAGGTGCCGGACACTGTGCTAAGTGCCTGACAAGGGATAATTCATTTAATCCTCTCCACACTCCTATGAGGCTAGTACTAGTATTAATCCTACTTAAGAGATTAGTAAACTAAGGCACAGAAGTAACTTTCCCATTTAATACAGCCAACATGAGGCAGAGCCAGCATATAGACCATCCAATTCCCCATACTGAACTGGAACTAATCTTCAGTCAAACACAGCAACTATATAGCCTGTTGCACTCAAGAAACAAAAGAGATTTACCCTGTGCCAAGAGCCAAGGGGCACAGAAAATGAGGCAATACTGCCTAGACTCCATGCTTCAGGGTAGTGTGCAAAAACGGATCAGCTAAACCACTGAAACTAATTGACCTACTGGCGGAGAGCAGCACTGAGATGTACTGCAGGAAAGCAAGGTTCCCCTCTACAGGATTACAGTTGTCAACGAAAGTGAGTGAGGCTCTTGTAAACTCTTTTCTGTAAGGATGGAACTACTATTCCTTATAGCTGTTCACTATTTAGACTTCTGGTCTTTATCAACTTTTGGTCTGACAGTTCCATTGTATTTCCAACCTTTGGAGTAAAAAGCTCTCTTTTTCCCACCTTAAGTTTCAAAAGGAACTCCCTGGTCCAACTACTCAAGGATTTGATCCACAAGTTTGCGTTCCCATCAATGCCCTCCTTTCTCAGATGAAAGCTCCAATACCATATTCATATTTTTAGGTGCTACTTTGGGGCCTTTTCGGGTAACACTTTTTTTTTTTTGGTCCAATAATGGATACAGCATTTAAGAACTGAGCAACTTGATTTTGTACTTGGTTTCTACCTGGTTTCTAATCCTCTTCCACTGATGTCTTCAAGGCACCATCAACAATAGTTTTTGGACCCATCTCCTATATTGGCATTGGAGGCTTATGGCCCTAATTATTTTGTCCTTAAGATATTGTTTAAATATTTTCAAACAAATACATTATTTTATACCTACCCATGACAAATCTCTCTCCCTCAGCCGTGGGAGATTTTGGTGGAGCAGGGGAATACAAGTGTGCTCAAGCTAAATTTTCTCGAGTATACTATAATATGGTATAATATTTGGAACTTTTAGGTTAAAGGCACTTACTCCTCCCATCTCATGGAGAACACAGTTTAGAGAGACACCATAACCTAGCAGCTAGGGCATCCACACAATTAAAAGGGCAATGTATGTCCAAACACATGATCTCAGAAGAAAGAAATGGAAGAATGTAAGAAGAAAGCTAAAATGTCAATAAAATATAGATTTGAGAAGAAAACACAATCAAATTATTATGTTGCAAAAAATTTGCACGAAGAGCAAAATTAAGATATATAATAATAAAAGATTTTTTAAAAAGCAAGCATAGACGTGGTTGGAAAGACACTGAAAAATAAATTCTTTCATGACTGTAGCCACCACATTGAAGTATTCCTATAGGAAAAAATAGGTAATGGTTTCTCCTCCAACAATATACGTTGCAAAGGGCTGAAATACTAAGAATATAATTAACTAGGATATGAAAATCTAGCTTCTCCAATGAGCTGGAATTTGCTAAAAATAAGTAAGATGCAAGTATCACAGTATCCAGGTAATCAATTGCACAACTGACCCTAAGCCACCGCTCTGCTGGAACAGAGCAGGGTCCTGAAGACGCACAGTAAGGTTGGAGTCTCCTCCCCAGCCCTCAGAAGCTTTATCTTCCCCTCCCACTTTCTGCAAGCGCCGAATTGTGCAGTTCTCAGTACAGAAAGCAGAGTCCAAGGTTAAAGTTAACAAGCTGCTGCCTATGGCCTACTTCCAGGGCCTCACGAGCTGATTAGGTAACTTTACAAAGTGCTGCAACGGTGAGGACTATTGTTACTCTTTGTAACCCAGCAAGCAAACAGAGGAGGAGTTGAAAGGAGAGCATTTAGGACAACAGAAAACTGCTCTGACGAAAACTGCATAATTCTAAAAAACTGATCAAATTAAAATTGATTGTATTTCAGGTCTATGGAAGTAAATTTGGGTTTAAACCAAGGAGGAAGGAAGCACGTTATGTCTCCACTTGTGCGTATACAATACCAGCTTCTGTCTGTAAAGCCCCATTCCAAAGTGCATTCACCAACACGCCACCGAGCCCTCAACGGGCCCTGGGGACGGCTGCAATTTAGGGTCGAAGAAACTGAGGCTGGGCCCCTGGACACAGGCTCTTTGGAAGTGGACACACTCACAGGCCCCGACACCAGACCTTTCAACCACCAACTACAAGGGTGAAGGAACCGGGTGGAAAAGTCCCGGGCTTCCCGTGGACGTCGACCTCTCGGCGGGACACCACGCCGGGTGGTAGCCCGCCAGCGCTCTCATCTTAGGGTGGGCAGGAAAGCAAACGGGGTGTGTTGCCGCTGGGTGGCTCACCTGCGCGATGCCGGAGCCCATCAGCCCGCCGCCAATGACCGTCACGTGCTTGATGACGATTTTCTTGGCCGAGGCGGTGGATGAAGAAGCCATGGAGCGAATGAAATGCCTGGTTACGAAAGCCATGGTGCGGAGCCGGAGCGGCAGAGGAGACGGAGGAGAGGCAGAGGCTGAGGAAACAAGCGGCACAAGAACGAGCAAAACACTGCATGCAGCGCGCTACCAGCAGCCAGCTGACTTCCGAGCGCGGAGGCCCAGACTGCTCCGCCGCCGGCGCTCTCTGGGCGTCACCAGACGTCACCGGCGGCGGGGCGGGGACCCGTGGCCCGCTCCGCCCATTGGCCGAGGCCACCCGGACGGCGTTCGAACGTTGGAGCGCGGCCT